TCACTAGTTCTGATTCTAATAACATTGATGGAAATCAAGAAACTAAGAGTTGGGCCGATCAAACACAAAACGAAGATATGGGAGAATCTTCGCAATCTCAATTTAATGGTGATAATTCAAATAATAAGGATGAATCTGTCAATAATAATTCGTCAGTTCAACAGAATCGTCAGCAGTATAATAATAATCGCCGTGCCAATGGGGTATGAGCCTACTTTCCTCCGAAAGTGAATTTACTTCTATAAAGCTAAATTTTTTCTGTTACAAAATACAGAAATTTGCCTATTCGGCATTTTCTGTTCAGGTTGGAAACTTAACAGTACCCGTAAGTGAAGGTGAAATCCAAGATTTTTTCACTTCTGCCGAATGTCAGGTAAATTGTATTTCTTTTTCTTATTTTTTTTTTTAAAACTTAATTCTCGACATTGAAACCATCGATATATCAATCAATAGGTTGAACGCGTCAAGCTTATTTATGACCGAAGTTCAAAAGATCAACTTGATCATTGTTATGTGGATTTCCAAGATGGAGTCTCACTTGAGAAAGCAATTCAATTAAACGGACAGGTTTGTTTCTCGGACGTGATGGGGCAAAAGAGTTTTTTTTTTATATATATTTACATTTACATTTCTTAATCAGCCATTTGGAGCAAACCAAAATCCATTAAAGATTCGCAAAGCAGATCCAGAAAACAGATCGAATCGATGGCGCGGGCGTGGACGCGGACGCGGCGGTTATAAACATCGTGGCAACGGTCAACATAATAATACTGGGAGTAATCATGTGCAGAACGGAAGCTCTCAATAGGCAAAAAAAGAATCCTTTTACACATATATATATATATCAAAATATAAATATTTAAACCTATATAACCTATATTCAAGTCAACCTCTTTATAGCACTAAAATTTCTTTCATTATAGTGATGACAATAATTTTATTAATTACTTATAACAAGCTAATATTAGGTTGTCTTGTATTTAGTTTCACGATTACGGTATGTGGATGTTCATGGTTTGTTCTTTTATTATTATTTATTAGCTCGAGCGCGTTATACATGTACATTTGTATTTGAATTTTGGTTGTATTAATAGTATTTATGTGTTAAAAAGTTGCCGGACTGAGAAAAGTTATTATTCCTATACAAAAGAACAGTTCAAACCTGCATTGAAAATCTGCAGACGAACCTCGGAGATTACATTTTTCCATTGTTACGCCAATCTTTTTTTAGGTGGAGATCATGGCTGATAATGAATTATAAATTCAAAACGGAAAAAGATAAATTTGATCTATAAAAGATGTGATCGTAG